CGGGCTGACGCCGCGGCAGGCGCACCGTCGTCATGCCCCCTCGCCGCCTCCCATCCCGTCGCCGCCCTCGTCGCCCGTCTGCGCGCCCAACTCGCTCAGCATCCTGCAGGAGCAGTCGGACCACGACTCGGCCAGCGCCACAGAGGACGGCCATGACGACGACGGCCAGGAGGCGGCGGGCGTGCGGAGGATGGGCGATCGGCGCTACACGATCTCGGCGAGCCTCCAGACGGGCCTGCACGTCTACGACGGCGTCGATATCCCGTGCGCTGCCGTGCACCTCGGCAGCGATGCCGAGGACAACGCGGATGTCGACGACGACGACGACGACGAGGTGGGCGACGTCTCGTCGACCGCGTCGACCCGCGGCAGCGGCGGAGGCCGCAGCAAGGGGCCCAAGAAGGCCAAGTCGGTCAAGCGATGGTTTGCCAAGGTCGTGGGCTAAGAGGAGAGGGCGCCGGCATCACTCGTTTACCCTTCATTCCCGCTGTGACTCTGTGTACTTGTACTTTCCACGCTACCTCTCTTTAATCGGTCCAAGCAGTGTCATCGTCGTCCCCGCAGTAGCCTCGAGAGCCTGAATGAGGCCCGGATGGAAGACAATTTTGCCAAGAGAAGAGCCCAGAGGGGTTTTGCGATGGAGAATGCAGCGACGGAGAGAAAGGGAAGTGGATGCGACCCGCAGGCCGGCAGCCGCTCTGCGTCGCTCTCCTAACAAGCCAGATCGAGCCGTCGGGCCCCACTCGACGACGACGCCGACGAAACAGAAGAATGGGAGGCAGACGAGGACGAGGAGCCGTTGCGGGAATGGACGCGCGAGAGGCGCCAGAGGAGGGACCGAGGCCGTGAGGCCGACGACGTGGTCCACTTTGCTCGGTGTCGCTCTGCCTCGTCGATCCGGCCTTGCTCCCACGCGTCGGCACCCCACGTGCTGCCATTCAGCACCAGCGGACCCGTCGTCGTCGTCGTTGTTGTTGGCGTTGGCGTTGACGCTGGAGTTTGGGTTGAGGAGGGACATGGGTCGAAGGTCCAGACACAGGGTGGGTAGAGCGCGTACTGAGGGAAGTAGGAGGAGGATGGAACATGGTTGAAGGAGAGCGGATGGTGATCCATGGTTGTCGCTGAAGGATGCGGAGGGTGACATGGGAGGAGGGAGACGTCCTGCCATTCCCGTTTGTGATCCTCTTGCTGCACCGGGTCTGGGTAGTACGACGACGACGACATCTCGGCGCAGTCAAGATGCAGATGCAGGCCCGTTGCCCATCCGCCGCTGGGGTCGAGGTTGAGATCGAGGCGGAACGCGGCCGGGAGTGACGCTCGACACCGCCTTGTTCCCCACCCTGTCCCCATCGGAGCAGCGGCGGCGGCGGCGGCGGTGGGCACAGGGCAGGAATGGCGATGATCCCCATGTATCCCGACGTGGGACGTGCTGGGGCTCGGATCGAGTGCGCCTCGTCGTCGTCGTCGTTGATGCTGCAGCGACAGAGTTGTCGAATCCGAATCCGTACGCGGTTCAGAGGCGGATGTCGCTCCGTTTTTGCTTTGGAGGGGAAGCACCGAGGATCTGAGACGGAATGAGACCGTCGATGCCCTCCGAGCGGGAGGGGCGGGTGGCTGCGCCGGTCCATCCGCCTCGGCCTCGGTCGGAACCGCTCGATCGAAACGCAACGACTTGGTGCGCAGCAGGAGCAACGACGCACGACGTCCGAACCTCCACGGCTCCGTCGCCTCGTCGACGCTGCACTGCGTCGAAGGCTGCCCCTTCCCCGGGTCGAGCTGTGATGGGTCGAAGAGCATTCCGTCGTTTCCCGTCGTCGTGCCCGCTCCGACGAAGGCGGAGGTGGGACCGACTCCGAGCCACTTGCGAAGACGATTGGACATCTTCTCCGTCGCTGCCGGGTTGAAGCAGGTGTTGGTCTCGAGCTTCGCGAAGGGGTAAGACGGGGGGAAAAGCTGTGCCTGAGCCTTGAGGGACAAGGCGGAGCGGGGCGGGGCGGGGCGGGGCGAGCTGTCGATCCTGAGCCGAGCTGGACCGAGTCGTCGTCCAGTACATCCTTCTTATCCCTTGACCTGTCGCCACCTACCCTTTACGAGGCGCCGAGAAAGAGGGATTAGCTGAAAAGAGAGAAGCTGCGCTGGCAGCGAGCCACTCCCGACCCATTCCAACGCCGTCATGTCTAAGCCAAACGCGTGCTAGAGCGGGGGGCGTACACGCTCGTGCGAGGCCATTTTGACACGCGCAACGTGCATCGGCGTCGTCAATGAACGATAGTGCGGTCGCCTAGTCAAGTCCAGTCCAGATCAACTGCGTAGGCCACGGCTCCATGGAGGATTGAGAGAGGTACGGTACCTGGCTTGCTGTCTGTCTGGGCGCGGCTTGTGGTGCAATTTTTGACGCCAGAGAGGTCCTGACCCTCGTGGTGCAGCAGGATGAAGGAGGTCAAAGCGACACCATTCTGGAGTTGGAGCTGGATCTGGACCTCGACGCCCTCAGTAGCTCGCGCCCGGAGTCGACTAGAGACCAAGAAGTCGGTCGTATCGTCGAACTGAAACCAGCAGGCTTGCTTGAAAGCTTCCGCGGCATGCGTGTATCGCTGCGCTGGCACAGTTCTGCTGGGCGTCATGCTAGTGCGGGTTGAGGGGAGACCTCGTGCAGTAGTCGCGGTCAGGAAGGAGGTCAAGCTAGGGTACGAACGCGTGCTCTGGCACGAGGCGCGACTGAGCTCGAGATGAAGAATGGGCGATATCGCACCAGCTAGCGGGTTTGCACCACGGAGCGCAGGGGAGCGCCAACTGGACGCCCCTCAGGCATGCTAACCTCGAGCCCGAGCAAGGAAATGACGACGAACGCGCTGGCTGGTCGAACGCGACGGGAGGGAACGTGACGACAGACTCCGGATTGCCATCGTGAACGAGCGCAGCTGACGCGGGGGCGGTGTGGCGATATAGGTACAGTTGTGGAACGGTGGATTTGGGCCAGAAGAGGAAGAGAGAACCGAGAGATGCTCTAGCTGTGGGTCGCCGGCTCTCGTGCGGGCGTGCGGACGTGACGGACCGAAGCAATGGAGACCCGTGACGGCAGCGGTGGGTGGTTCAAGCGCAAGAGGGTCGGTCGGTGGGGGAATCGTCGGATGGCGAGCCTTGGGCCGGTTGCGCCTCCGATACATGGCTGGGAGAGAAGAGTTTGCTTCGGTGGGGGAAAGGGGACCAGGCGCGACGATGGACTGCTTCAGCCGTACATGTTGTTGTTGTTGCTGTTGTTTCCGCCAGCACCGCCAGCGCCGCCAGCACCGCCGGCACCGCCCATAAAGTTGCGCGCCATCTCGCGCATCGCGGGGTCCTGCATCAGCGAGCCAATGTCGGGCATGCCGCCGCCGCCCTGGAAGCGCTCGGCCGCCTGGCGCAGCATGGGGTTGTTCATCAGCTCCGACAGGCCGTTGGGGTTCGACATGAGGTTCTGCGCCATCTGCGCCACCATCGGGTTGTTCATCAGCGAGGCGAGGTCGGGCATGCCGCCGGCACCGCCAAAGTTGGGGAAGCCTCCGGCTCCCGCGCCAGCACCGGCACCGGCACCGGCGCCCTGGCCGGGGCTCGACACGGCATCGCGAGCGGCAGCCGACGACGGCGACGAGGCGGACGCGTTGCCGCCGCCCTCGCTGGCGAGGCGCTCCTTGCTGGCGGCGAGGCCGCGCTTGAGCACGTCGTTGGACGGGTCCACCTCGACGCCCTTTTCGTAGGCCTCGACGGCATCGGAAAAGCGGCCGGACGAAAAGAGGGCGTGGCCGAGGCGGCTGTAGGCCTTGCCAAACTTGGGGTCGATCTTGGAGGCGGCGCGAGCGTCGTCGATGGCCTGGTCGTGCTGCCCAATCTGGCTAAAGGCGGCGGCACGGTTCGAATAGTAGACGGGCGAGTTGGGGTTGAGCTCGATGGCCTTGCCGTACGCCTCGATGGCGGCGCCGTAGTCCTTGGACGACATGGCCTTGTTGCCCTCCGTCTTGAGCTCTTCGGCCTTGGCGATGTCGGCCTCGGACACGTCCTTGGCCGCCGGTGCAGCTGCGGGCTCGGCGCTGGATGCCGCTGCCGCTGCCGCCGGGGTCGAGGCCGAGGTCGAGGGAGCGCCCATTTTTTTCTGCGTCTTGAGGAAGATGTCAAAGATGGCCTGGAGCCCCGGCCCTTGGCCGTACTGCTGCTGCTGTGCCGAGTCCGAGGTGTTGACGCCAAAGGCGGTGGCGGCGCTCTTGGCGGCCGTCTGCAGCTCGGCCTTCTTGTCGGCAGGGAGCGAGGTGCCGGCCTGCTCGAGCCAGCTGACGACGGCGTAAGCAAGGTGTGCCTGGTCGCTCGCCATTGCGGTGAGATGTGTGAGGTGGGGTCGGGTGTTAGAGCGGAGTAGCGCCGCTGGGAGAGAAGGCCTGGTTACGATGGAGCGCGCAAGGGAAGAAGATGCAACGACAGAGGTCAGCCCGCGGTCCTTTCTGGGAGGAAAAGGCAGGAGAGCAAAGGTCGGTGCAGGGCCCCAGCCAGAAAGGAGTCTCAGGGTGAAAGAATCATTGCTTCCGTCATGAATTGATCGGAAGTCTAACATGTATTGAAATTTGAGGATTTCGGTTCATCATGGAGAGTGGGGTCGGGCTGCGAGGACCGGGTCGGCGATCGGGATCTAGCCCACACTTACTGAGTTGACCGGCTGGGAAAGAGCGGCTGAGCTAGAGAGCCGGATGGGATAGTCGGATAGCCGTAAATGTGGAGACAGGGAAGGACGAGGTGGTGACAGACGAGAGAGGTTGCGTGGTGGTGGTGGCGAGAAGAAAGGTGAGCGTGGACCCGGGCGTCGACACCAAAGGGGCCCGCCTCGGGGGCCGTGCGAGTGAGTAGGCCACGTCTTCGCCCGCCTTCCTCGAGCTTCCGCAGGCGGGCGGACCCGAGCGCCTCGGGTGCCACGCGCACTCGGGCGAGAGGCACGCCGCCTGGCGCCGGCCCACACATCAGCCCCACAGCCTTGGCGCTGCATCCCGACCTTCTCCTCCTCGCCTTCGACAACGGTCCAGCTGCTGCCTTTGCCTTCGTCTTCGATATCGTCACCGGAACACGCGTCGGGACCGGGCAGAGAGGAAGACAGCCGAGGACGGCAGAGTTTGCACGCGGGATCCGGTCGATGAGATTGTATACAGATGAGGTCGTGGGTGGCCCCTCGCACGGCGACCTGGAGGCTTCTGCTCGGCAGAAGTCGATCGCTGGGGGGCAGCACGGCACGTGCAGAGAGCAAATGCGGATCCAGAGGGAGATTCCGATGCGATAGGGGCAAGAAAAGGTTGAAAAGCGGGCGCATGCATCGAGAACGACGAAGCGCCTACCGCCCAAACAGGGCCGAGTTGACGGCGATCGGGTCGTCGTACGCCACGGGGGCCGCCGGAGCCCCTCGTGAAGCGGCATGCACGGGCGCCAGGGAGGGATGGTGGGGATGGCGAGAACCGAGATGGACCGGCACCTGGTTCATTGCCATCGCCATCGCAGCATTGTGGGAAGCGTGGGCATGCTGCTCTGCCGCCTTGGCCGCCGCCGTCGCGGAAGACGCATCGAGCGGCATCGTGAGCAGGCCGGAGTTGACGTCGAAGCTCGTTGCGTGCGGCGGCGGGTGATGAGGTGGGACGGCGCTGGCAGGAGAGATCTCGCTGTCAGACGTTGAAAAGGCTGAGCCGGACGAGCTTCCGACCAGCTGACCGCCCATGCTGTGGCCGTTGAGCGTCAAGTGCGGCCTCGTGCCGCTCGACCCGGGACCGCCGCCGCCCTCGGTCGTGACGGCAGATCCTTGCAACATGTCTAAGCCGTCTTCCAGGAACATGGCATTAGATCGCTGCTGCTGCTGCTGCTGCTGCTGCTGCTGCTGCTGCTGATGCTGATGCTGATGGTGGTCGTTGTTGCCATCGTGGCTGCTTGCTGCAATCGGCGTGGGTGCGGACGAGCCATGGATGGACGGCGCGGGCGAGGCCGAGTAGGAAAGGAATGCTGGATTGGCCCCAAAGTTTTGCGGCTGCGGCTGCGCTTGCTGCAGCTGATGCACCGCTCCAGGCGGGGCAAGGTGGCCGGCGGCAAAGTCGCCGCTTGCCGTGTACGGCCTCGCCATCTGGAGGGGCCCAGGCGAGGGGCCGCTGACGTTGGCAAAGGCGCCGTTGCTGCTCGACATGCTGGTGAAGTCCATCGAGGCGAGGCTATGGTGCGAACGATGATGCCCCGTCGATGATGGTCGAAGTACGAGCTCTGGAGCCGGTTGCGTCGGCGGCTGTGATTGCGACATGGCGCCGCCCTCTGCGCCGGGGATCTGGACTTCGAGGCCCCTTGCGGCGGCGCCCCGTACCGCGTAGGCCGCGGCTGCAGTGGCCGCTTGGACCGCCTCATTGTGGCCCTGATGCTGCAGCGCTAGGCTCGGTGCAAAGCCTCCAAACATGCCTGCCGGCGCCTGCCCATGGAGCTGCTGCTGTTGGCGTTGCTGCTGGAAGTGCTCTTCTGCCGCCTGCTGCTGCTGTTGCTGCTGTTGCTGTGCTGCCATCGACGCGGCCGCTGGCGACGGCATCAACGACGACTGCGACAGTTCAGGAGGATACGATGCGGCAAGGGCGGCGTTGGCCGTCACGGGCCGACCCGAGGAGCTCGAGGGCCGAGGCTGAGCACCCGACGAGAAGCTGCTGCGCCGCGGCGTCGGCAGCCCGCTGGGTTGGCCACCGGCTGCCGAGACGACTGGGTGCTGACTCGGCCGACCGCATGCAAGGTGCGAGGCGGGTCCCTCGGCCGACCCGTACGTCAGGCCCAGACCGGCGGCTTCCTTCTGCCGCCCACGCTCTCGCAGAGCCGCGTTGAGGGCGCTCTTGCCCACCGCAGACGTGCTTTCGTTGGGCTCGGAATCCTGTTCGGCCTTGATGCCGGTGCTGCCGCCTCCTGATGTCGAGGCCAGCTCCTTCTTTGGTGCGGGTCCGGATCGCGATGCAGAGGCCTGGCTGTCGGCCTTGCGCTTGCTGCCTGCCCTGCTCCCACTGCCGCCCGAGCCTCCGCCGCGTTTGCCTCCGCGACCGTTGCCTGACCCGCCACCGCCCTGGGACGATGGACCGGGGTCCTGTGTTGGCCCAGCGTCGCCGCCTGTACCGCCGCTCGGCCCGGATTTGTCCGGCTTGTCGTTGCCGTCATTTCCCTCGTCGCCGCCGTCCTCGTCTCCCGAGTCCTTGTCCATACCAAAGTAGTGCTGCGGACCCTTTCTCTCGGCCACTCCATCGTACTGCGTTTCCGGGCAATTAGTGCAAGGGGCGGTAGGTCAGTCGCTGCGATTCTGCGTCTGAGCATCTGATTTGACGAGCCGAGCAGGCCAAGGCTCATCCGGAGGCGCTGCCGCGACGCTCACCTCGGTATACCGTAGCAGGAGCTGGTCGATGTCGCCAGAGCAGAACTCGGCCAGCTTGCCGTTGTGACCAAAGACGATGACAGCTACCTCTGCGTCAGTCAGGACGGCAAGCTCATGGGCCTTTTTGAAGAGGCCGGACTTGCGCTTAAGATAGGTGACCGACCGGTTGCGGTCCTCCTTGATGGGCTGGATCTTGATCTTCTTGCGGCCCATGTCTGGCTGATGTGCGCGGCAGGCGAGAATGCCAGCAGGTGGTCTATAACGCCAGAGGCAAGAAGGACGGGCAGCGCCGGGCGCGTTCAGAGCGTAGGCAAGGAGACGCTGGGCGGGCGTTGCGGGTGCGCTAGCCGCTGTCGCTGGGCTTTCAGACGAGGTCGGATGTCACAGATGCTGTTGTGGCGAGGTGTGGAACGTGGCAGGGGCTCGAAGGATGCGGCGAGGCGAACGAGGGCGGATCCTGCCAGAGACGGGGCTGCAAAGTGGGCGGAATGACGGCGACTATGGGCCGGGCGAAGTCGTGCGTTCGGAGCAGATATTGATGCGTCTTTCGATGAGAGAAGGATAGCGTGGTCAGGAAGAGCAAAGAGAGCGGACGACAGCGCCGAGCTGATGCTGCAGGGTCGAGGCGAGAATGACGTGGGCGCTGAGGGATGCTGGTGGCGCGACTGTGGACATCGAAGAGGCCGAGGCGAGCAAGTGAAAGAGGGGAGAGCGAGCCGTGGGCGAGACGAGGGACGCGATCAGCAATGGTGACGACGGCGGTGTTGGTGGTGGTAAAGGTGGTCGTGAGCGATGGTGATGCGTCCCGATAGACCGGGGCGACGGAGTCGAGGTGGCAGGCGAGGGAGCGGGCGAGGGAGCGGGCGAGGAAGCCAAGCAGCACCTACGCCCTCTGCCGCTGCGGGTTTTCTGCTCGCCGCACGGCACCGCAACCGCACAGCAGCCGGCTGTCGCTGGCAGGCCAATCCAGGGTCGGCCCCAGCCCCCATCTTTGGCTCGGCCTGCCCTGCCTGCTCCTCGCTCACTCGCCCTCTCGGTCATCTTGGCGGCGTGCGTATCATCTTTGCCGGTTCGCTGAGGAGTCTGGCCCAGCTCAGCTGATGGCTCACAGCGGAGGGAGGCAGAGGCATCGCAGGCAGGCACGCAGGCAGGCCTGCAGTCGACACCACAGCGTCTTGACTTGCTGCTCTGCCACACCCTGGTCTCCTACGCCTGCCCCGCAACAGGCGAGCAAGAGCTGCCAGGCCAGGCAGGCCTCGTCTCTCTGAAGCAAGACAAACAGAGGCAAGGTGATGATGGCCAGTGCTCGAGCCTAGCGCCGGATTAGCGCCACGCTACGGGTGGGGACCGCCTCGCTCCCCGACCGCCACGAGCCTCGCGAGGCTCGGTTGGTCGACGGGCACAGCAGCAAGGCGGCTCAGCCCGCAGGGTCGGGCCAGGCCGAAACCGATCCCAGAGCAAGCGTCCCGCAGCCCTCTCCGGCGTGGCCTCTTGACCGCAGTCGCGGCGCCGCCATCGTTGCGAGCTCGCCCTCGAGAAACACCCTCGCACGCTGCCATGGCGGCGGGACTGCGCGTAGCTACGTCCGCATGCCCCTGTCTACCGTCGTCGGTGGTGGCGCTGCAACGTGCGTGCGTGCAGGCCTGTCCGACCGACGACGGCCGGGGGGCTGCTGGGTGACGTCGTTCGGCGAGCCAGGTGGAAAAAGATCCGAACCAGCAGCGAACAGGTTACGCCTAGGAGGGAGCCCGCAGGCAGGGGGAATTGGCGCCGGCGACGGGGTCGAGACGCCATGGGCTCGCTCCGCTCCTTGCAGTTGGCCACGGCTTTGACCCCCTGGCCTCGCTCTTGGGGGTCGCCTGCTTCCTCCCCACGCCCTTTCAGATGGACGTGGCAGGCTGGCGACAAGACAGATAAGATTCGCGCAGCACGGGCATCACGCAGGCTAGGCCGGGCCAAGTCGCCGGGCAGGGCCCCTCTCTCGGAGCCGACAGGAGGTCAAGCGCTGTACCACCGTATCACTCGACCGGAGCTCTCCGCCGCTTTTTGGCCCAGGTACACAGCCTGGAATGACCACGGCGGACTGATCCACAGCGCGGCTGCTGCACGAGCCTCCTCCGCTGCTCATCGTACGTACGTGCGTGCGTCCGTCGTTCGACGGCGGCGGCGGCGGCGTGCGGCGCTCGCTCGGTCGGTCGCCTTGGCGCAGGTGAAACGGGCGCGGGGCGAGCAGGTGCCTAGCTAGGCAGGTGGTCCGGCCCCTGCTCCGCTGCCATCCGGAGCCGTTGCACAACGGTGTGGGCAGCGGAGCTTCTGGGGTGTGCGACCAGGTCCGCCTTCGGGGCTGGGTTTGGGGACACGTACGCGCGGATCGTCGCCGCGGTTGTACAGACTCGTCCGCTCATGTCGGCCGCGGTCGCTGCGCTTCGGCAATCAGCCGGTCTGGCGCGCGGGCGGTCCGATCCGACACGGTCGACGAGCACGGTCGGCGCCGACAGGTACCGTCCGTACCACACACACCTTGCCTGCTGGCCATGCCGGCGGCACAGCGACGACGGGGGGACCGGTATGGTGTTGGTATGGTGAAAAAGCGTGCTGTTGCTGCGCCTGTGCGAATGTCGGGACCGGGCAAGGAGGCGGACAGCGAGGGTGCGGGCGTGGACGGCGAGAGCGGGAGGGTGAGGGTTCAGGTTTCCGCAGCAGCCGATAGATCCGCCGGCCTCGGGAGCACGCGAGTTCCCGAAGACCGGTGGTGGTGGTCGCTGCCTGCCTGGCCTTGCGGCTTTTAGCTCGCCTCTGCCTTTTGTTTTTCGGCGCATCCGTCGAATCATGCTCGCAGCGACTCCTGAGTCGACGGCTGATCCTGCAAACGGAACGGACCCGCTCGATTGCGGCTTGCTTCAAGGGCAGTCGTTGATGATGATGAGTCCAAGGCGCCGCCGTTGTTTTGCGCGTGCCGGCCTGCCGCGCTGCTCAAACGAGCGTCCAGCGGGGCCGGGCGATCCTTGATGACCAAGGCAAGCGATGCTAAGGCAGCATGGCCGCCGCGCTGTCCTTGCTTCGCACGACCAGACGACGGAACGGGGACCACCCATCTCCTCTCCCCGGTCGCACCATGAAAAATTCTCGGGCAGGAGGGACGGTCATGCTGATGGCGTGGGCTGCCGGCCGGCCTGCGTGCGAAGGGTGGGTGCAGCGGCTACTGAAGGTCATGTTGGTTTTGCCGACAAATTGGCCGGCAAGCTGCCGCACACTGCCTTCGTGTACGTGTGCCTGTGGCCTGTTGCCCTTTGCCTCTGGCCGCCTGTCAAGACCCTCGAACCGGCAGCCTCTTGACGATCCCCTCTGCTGCTGGCCTCTTGCTACGGCATGGTGCCGTGGCTCCGCGTCGTCTCTGGATCCAATCACCCGCCACGAGCCACCTCTCACCATCACCACCACCACCATCCGACCTTCGCCCTTTCACCCGTCACCTCTGCGTGCTTGCTCCATGCGCGGCTAGCTTCCGGCCTATCTGCTGCGCCCCCTGCTCAACCTTGCTTGATCGACGCATTGCTCCTGCTCGCCCGTTTTGCTCGACGAACGGCACCTGGCCAGTTCGTTCCCTCGCCCTGAATAAGAAGGCCGAGCTCCCTTTGCAAAGCTTGAGTCTGGCACCCGGATCATCCGCCCATCCCCTCGCCATCCCTGCGCCCTTCGGATCCCCTCCTTTCCCGGCCTGCTCGACCGCGGCAACCTAGGTCTTGCCGGCCCGTTGGCGCACGGAATCTAAAGACTCAGCAGCATCCTCCAGACACCGGACACACCGCCAGACGGCCCGCCCCTGCCACTGCCATCGGCCTTTATCGATTGTCCGTCCGACGCCTTTGTCGATCCGCAGGCCATCGGCTACGGCCTTCATTACCGCCCGAACGACCGTCCGGCCGTCCGTCCGTCCGACCACTTCATTCCGGTTGCAACCGTCAAGCGCGCCCCACCCGAGCTTGCTTCCTAGCCTGTTTCCTCCCTTTCTTCCGTGACCGCTAGAGACCTGCGCACTTCCGGCACGGCCTGCCGCTAGCTAAACCTTCTTGCCTGCTCCGCTCGCTCGCCTTCAACAAGGTTTGGCTGGCAGCGCCAGGACGGCAAAAGGTATATATACAGGACCATCTAAGGCCACCGACCATACCCCTCCCCGTCCGCATCACCCGCAATCCGCCAACGACCAGAGCAATCCCTGACTGGCCAGCCTCCGCCATCCGCCTCGCCCAGCTCGATCACGTACTTTTCGACATCTCCCTGACATCGCTCGTCGCGATGATGCCGCCCTCTGCGGAGCCGGCTCAACATACACCGTACACCATCTCGGAGGCCTCCGAGATGGCGCGCACAGTCAGCTCAGTTTCCCACGCCGCCCACGATGACCTGGCGCGCTCGCAGTCGCCCAACAGCGCGCTCCAGGGCATGCCCGTCGGCGCGGGCCTGGATGGCCAGGTCGTCGACCTCGAAAAGCACGCCGAGCCTACGCCTCAGGAGCGCAAGATGGAGGCCGCCGGCGATGTCATCTGGGTCGAGTTTGAGGACAACGACCCCGAGGATCCCTTTAACTTTTCGACGCGCCGGAAGTGGATCATCACCTGCCTCGCCGTCTTCTTCACCGCCGAGGTGGCCGCCACCGCCTCCGCCTACGTACCCGGCATCCCCTCGATGGAGCGAGACCTCAACGTCACCAACCACACCATGTCGCTCCTCGGCATCTCGATCTACGCCCTCGGCTTCGCCATCCCGCCCCTCGTCCTCGCGCCCCTCTCCGAAGTGTTTGGCCGCAACCCCATCTACCTCGTCTGCCACCTCTGCTACACCGTCCTCTTCATCGGCGTGGGCGCCGCCCAGAACATCCAGACCGTCCTCATCTGCCGCTTCCTTAGCGGCGCCTTTGGCTCCACCGGGTCCACCATGGTCGGCGGCACGATCGCAGGTGAGTGCGGCCATCGGCGCGGCAGCGCAACGCACGGCGCCGCTCGACGCGACATCGCCTTCCCTGCCTGCGCCGCGGTGTGCTGACGGCGGCGACCCTGCTCCCCTTCATTGTTCTCCTCCTCCTTCGCCTCGCAGACATCTTCCGCTCCTCGGAACGCGGCCAGCCCATGGCACTCTTTGCCACCGCCGCCATCTTCGGCACCGGCTTCGGGCCCGTCTGGGCCGGCTGGGTCGAGCAGAACTCGTCGCTCGAGTGGCGCTGGATAGCGTGGATTCAAGCGATCTACACAGGCGTTGGCTTCATTGTGATCGCCTTCTTCCTCAAAGAGACGCGCGGCGGCATCATCCTCACGCGTCGAGCGCACCGACTCCGCAAGACGACGGGTGACCAGCGCTACCGGGCGAGGGCCGAAGAGGAGCGCGCCTCGGTGCCCATCCTCATCAAGAACAGCCTGACCCGCCCGCTCCTCTTCCTCTTCACCGAGCCCATCGTCACCTTCTTCTCGCTCTGGGTCGTGAGTGCTCGCCTGACCAATTGCCGTTGCCGGTCTGCCCGGTCGCGCGGCGCCGCTGACACCCTGTCCTGCTGCCCTCTTGCACCGCAGAGCTTCACCTGGGGCTTCCTCTACCTGCTTCTGAGCTCCATCGGCTTCGTCTCGGCGCTGCACAATTACACTCCTGGCCAGGTGAGTGATTGTCCGTGGCCCTCCGCATGGTCGGACGAGAAGCTGACCCCCTCTCTTTGCGGTCCTCCCCTTGTTCTCCCTGTCGCGCACCCAGAATGGCCTCGTCTTCCTGTCCATTTGCTTCTCAGCCATCCTCGGCAACCTGCTCAACCCGCTCCAGGAGCGCATGTACGCCCGCAACTTCCCCAAGCGCGGACCAGAGGCACGCCTCTACTCGGCCTGCGTCGGCGCCGTAGCCTTCCCGGTCGGCTGCTTCATCTACGGCTGGACCAGCTATAGCCACGTCAGCATGGCGGGACCGTGAGTGCGCTGGCCCTTCTTCGTCATCCCGTCGTGCTCCGTGATGGAACGCTGGCTGACTCGGCTGCCTCTGCTCCCCCCTGCGTCGGCCAACAGGATCGTCGGCGTCGTCGTGCTCATGACTGGCGTCTATCACATCTACCTGGCCGTGAGTTTCCAGCGCGACATCCTCGCCCTCTCTGCGTGGCAGCATCGAAAGCTGACCGCACCGGTCTACCCATCCACAGTGCTTCAACTTCCTCAGCGACAGCTACTTGACCTACGCCTCGTCGGCGCTGGCGGCGCAAAGTTTTGCGCGCAACATGTTTGCCTTTGCCTTTCCGCTCTTCGTCAAGCCGATGTACGAGCACCTTGGCTACCAGTGGGCCAGCTCGCTCGCGGGCTTTGTCGGCCTCGCCCTCGGCACAGTGAGTTGGGCTCCCGGTCCTCCGCCTCCCTAGTGGATTGCGCCGCTAACGACCGCGCCCTCGACGTCTTTGTCGCCCAGGTCCCGTTCATCCTCTTTGGCTACGGCAAGAGCATCCGCGCCAAGTCCAAGGTCTACCAGCAGCTGCAGAGGGACGCAGAGGAGCGAGCGAGGAAGACGTCGTCGTCGTCATGACGATTCCCCAGCCTCGTCGCCATACGGCGGCTGCTCGTGCTCGTAGCACAGCCAGAGTATCAAGAAGCGCACCCGACGCATCCCCCGAGCTTCCTCGCCAGCCTGAGGCATACATGATCAGACGGAGGCGAAGAGATTAGACGTGGCCTGCGCTACAACAGCTCGAGGCCGACGAAGACGACGGGTCTGCGTCAGCGCTGCCACGACGCAACAAAAACATAGGCAGAACTAGAACCTGAGCCCTCGGCCCCCTTCAACGACGCTGACATCGCCGCAGCAGCAGCAGCAGCACTGGCAGGCCGGGACGACGTAGAAACGGCCCGCCACCTTGTACAACATAGATTCCCTACGCCATCACGTTGCTTCCCCATCGACGGTGACGATCCCCGACGTGCTTTGACCGCTCCATGATATCGATACGGCGCCTTTGCTTCCCCCAACTCAGCCTCGATTCGTCTGAGCGTCGGAGCGGAGCGTGGCTGCATGGAAGGGATCTGGCCGGGTCGGTCGTCGCGTTTGGTGAAGCGCTATATATGGATGGGTGAAGGCTGGCCAACTTGCAGATTCGGAGCGTCGGCCTCCTGTGCGCGGCCGGTGCGCTGCTCCGCCGACCGCCGTCGGTCAGCCGCCCCACCAAAAAAAAATCGACTCAGCGGCCTGCTCTTTGCTGCCGCCGCGCGGAGAGCAGGCCAAGCGGGCAGGCGCCCGTCCGGCTCTTCCTTCCTGACCTCATCCATCCTCGCTCCTTTCTCCCTCCGCCTCTATCGCCACCTCTTTTTCGCTTTGTTGCGCACACTGCCGCCTCGTCACCTATCTCGCACCCAAGTGCACGCCTCGGTCTGCACCTGCAGATCCGCACTGCCCAACCAATCTCGCACCACCATGAGTCGCTTCATTAAGTGGCTGGAGGAAGCCACTCCGGAAGATTTTGCCGCGATGGAAGAGAGGCACCGAGCCTTTGACGAGCATTACAAGTCCTGGTCGCCTCACAACCTTGTTTCGAGGTCGAGGGAGACGGTCGTGGCCCAGCACTTTTCACGATTCCGAGCAAACACGTTCGCCGTCGAGATGGCGAAGACCCAGGGTGCCGCTGCTCCCGAGGTCGACAAGGCTGCCGAGGCGCAGGAGTTCATGCTCGAGCTACAGACTCCCAACTGGTTCGATAGGACCAATAACGCGCAGGACCTCATGGTGATCTGGCTCTTCACCGTTGGCCGTGCGGCCTGCTTGATCCTCGAGCATGAGCCGGGCATGCAGGCGCATGGGAAGAAGGTAGTCGCAGGAGAGGGCGGAAACGACGTCAGGGGAACTGCGTCCGGGGGAGATGAGTGCACAGCTGCCGAGTCGAGCCGCGAAGAAACCGTCGCCGCAGACGGCCCCATCGCCAGCTCCAGCGGCGGCAAGGATGTGAGCAGCTCGACTGCCACCGGTGCCGTTGCTGCCGGCCCGGGAGCATCGACGAACGAGAATACCAAGACAGCCGCGAACGCGAAAGGCAAGGATGTTCCCGGAAGCGGACCCCCCGACTTGTCCTCGAAGGACATCGTTCCCCATCTGCACCTCATCCACCTGCAGCGCATCTTGGCCGAGCTCCTCGCCTTCTGCGCACGCTACAAGAGCTACAACTCGCAGAACTATCTCGCCGACTTCCCCGGGCGGCTGCAGCAGTACGAGGTGGCTCTCAACTTGCGCTGCTGCCAGAGAGGCCCCATACAGAGGGAATCGCACTTCAACGTCGAGGACGGCGAGATGGAGAAGGAGCTCCCAACCCGTCCGAGGGTCCAGGGAAGGGACGAGGAAACGAGCCTCGAGGAGCGAGAGGCGACGTCGGCTCTCGTGGCGCGCCTTCGCAACTTTGCGGCCGGTGTGGCGCCGCAGCCGCAGTCCCAGGCCCAGACCAAGCACCAGGCCCAGCAGGAGTCGGGCAAGCGTCGTGACGAGCAGCAGGCCGAGAGCAGCCGGGTCCATCCGGCCAAGAAGGCTCGCCACTGAAGCCGAGGGGGCATCACCACGTCGCCATGGCTCATCAGCACGACATGCACGCAACGAGCCCGCTTCGTCACCCGGCCTTCCCCTGGCAGCGAGCCCAGGACCTCGATCGAACCGCTCTTCACAAGCCATCGGCGGCGAGTGCAGGGATGAACCACCACTGCCGAGCGAGCCAGCATCCTTGGCGCCGCCTGCTGCCTCGTCCAACGACGTCACGGGTCTCGCTCGCCCAAGCTTCAGACGTCACCCACTCGAGCGACCCTAGCATCCGGGTCGTTCATCCCTCGATGACGGCGCCACACGCCGCATCCGCCGCCGCATAGGCGGTCCGTCCGCAGCAAAACTTCGCACACGCACACGCACACACACACGCACACGCACGCGCACACGATACGAGCACCGGCAGGCAAAAGGCGTGGCCCCTCGAATTGCACTGCCACGACCGCCGCAGTTCCGCTCGCTGAAACCCGCATCGCCACGCGCAACCACTACTTCTTGACCTTCTTGGGCTTCCCACCACTGCCGCCGCCTGCCGCCGCCGAAGCCTTGGCCTTTGCCTTCTTGGCCTGGGCACCGGCACCGCTGAAGCTCTTCTTGCCCTTTCCTTTGGCCGCGCCGCCCTTGGACGACGATGACGACGACGAGGGCAGCTTGACCTTGTCCCTCCCGCTGCCGGCGTCCTTGAGGATCTTGGAGGCCGCCTTTTTCTTGTTCTTCTTCTCCATGCGACGCTGCTGCCTCTCTGCGTCGTTGCGCTTGAACGCCGCGCGCTCCTCTTTGCCCAGCTTGGCCAGCATGCTCGCCTTTTCCAGCGCGGCCGCTGATGCAGGTGGCGGTTTGGCGGGCGCGCCGCCGCCGCTGCTGCTGGCCGGACCGTGCTTCTTTGTTGGCGTCGTCGATGTCGAGGCGGCCCGGGACTGTGCCGGACGGTCGCTGCCAAATTTGGGCGAGGATCCGTTGGGCGTGGGTGCACCGCTGGATCGGTAGCCCGGTCGACTGCCGCGCGCCGGCGTGCGCGGCTCGTCCGACGAAGGTGTCGCCTGGTCGCGCCTCTGCGTTCGACCCTGCCTGGTGTTACCGCCGCCGGGGCCGTTCCTGGTGGCGTTGGTGGTGGCCTTGCACCTCGACACGCGCAGCACCCTCCCGCGCAGCTTGAGCCGGCGCCGGAACTCGGACTGCTTGCCTCCAACGGCGATGGCCGTCGACGCCAGAGCGCTGTTGGAGATGTTGCGACCGCCGCCACCCTTGCCGCCTGCTGCACCCTTGGCGCCGCCTCCTCGGACGCTGGCGAAGAAGGCCTCTTCGGCCTCGTGGATGGCCATGATCTCGTCGACGCACTCGGTGTCGAGGAAGCGAACGTAGGCGATGCCCTTGCCCATCTGCGTCGCCTTGTCGCGGATCACGCGGACGCTGCGCACCCACGACGCGGCGTGCAGCGCCAGCATCCGATCGGCGGCGGCGGCGGTCCGCTCGTCTTCGGCATCGCTCTCGTCGTCCGACGAAGCAGCGCCGTCGTCGTCATCGTCCTCTCCCTCTCCCTGACCGCCGGCCTTGGCGCTGGAGCGGTACAACGTGGGCTGGACGGGGGGCTTGCCATCGAGCCCGACGACGGGGATGAGCGTGTCGGGCGGCGGGCCGCGCTCGTCGGCGAGGAGCTTTTCGAAAAAGGTGCGGATCTCCTCGTCCTTGACCTCAAAGTCGAGGTTGCCGACAAACAGGGTGCGCTTGGGGTCGGTGGTGCCCGATGCGGCGCTGCCGACCAGGCTGCCTTCGGCCGTCGTCACCTTGTCCAGGCCGGCCGCGATGACTTCGGACGCCTCGAGCGGCTTGACCAGGTCGACGCGCAGGTGGCGGCCCTCGAACAGCTGGCCGTCGGCGATCGAGGCGAGCAGCGCTGCCAACACGGGCGCAGTGAGGCGTTTGTCGAAGCCGGCCAGCTCGTCGGCCGGCTGTCGCTGCTCCTTGGAGCCGGTGCTGCCCTTCTTGGGCTTGGCGCTGCCCTCGCCGTCGCCCTTGCCAGTCGTGGCGGCGTCCTGCTCGTCTGCCTGCTCCTGCTCCTCTGCCTGCTCCCGCTCCTGCTGCTTGGCGCGCCTCGTCTGGTTGATGTGCCTGAAGACGGCGTCGGGGTATCCGAGGGTGACGTACGCATTGACGGTGTCGGCGTGCGAGTTGATGTCCTGGTTGATGTAGGCCACCTTGCGCTTCTGCTTGGCGGTGAGGAACTGGTGGGCCGACGCGGCGTCCTTGCCCTCGACGGCGGCGAGCGCCTCTTTGTAGTTCTTGGACCGCTCCCTGCGCTTGGCGAGCTTGGCGGCGGCCTCTTCGGACTCGGCGGTGAAGTCGTCGGTGGGGACGGCAAAGGGGATGGAGCGGAAGCGGAGGCTGGTGATCTTGGTGACGCCCGGGTAGGGCGAGAGGGAGGCGAGGTGCCTGCGCAGCCGCCGCTGGAGCGACTTGGACTTGACGGCCTCGATGGGCACGTTGCCGATAAAGAGGGTGCGCTTGTCCTTGAGCTCCGACGGCTCGTCGACGTCCTCGAACTGGGCGTTTTTGGGCTTGCGCACGGCGCCCTTCTTCTGCAGCGACTCGTGGACGATGGCGAAGGCCGCCTTGGGCTTGGTCGTCGAGCCGTACTTTGCCGCATCCTCTTCGTCGTCATCTTCGTCTTCGTCCACGTCCGGGTCCTCCTCGTCGTCCTCCTCCTCGTCCTCTTCCTCGTCGCCGCCTTCCATGTCTGCTGCTTCGCCGCCGGCCCCTTCGACCGAGTCGTCGGCATCCATCAGGTCCGCCATGGACTCAATCTCTGCCTCGTCGAGCTCCGAGAGGTCGCCATCGCCCTCGTCTGCATCCTCATCCTCGTCCTCATCGGCCTCGCTGCTGGCAGCCTCTGCGGCTTGCCCGTCGTCTTCGTCGGTCGTCTCGTCGGCCGATTTGGCCTTCTTGGCGGCAGAGGCGCTCGCCTCGACATGGCTGGCCTTGCGCTTGCTGGCGGTGGCAGGTGCCGCTGCCGCTGCTGGTTTGGGCGCAGACGCGGGCGCTACCTTGAAGAAGGCATCGAGCTCGGCATCAAAGGATCCGCTGGGCTTGGCGCCGAACAGGGCGTTGGCGGGCGTCGTTGTCGCCGCCGAGGACGAGGGTGCGGCCGACGTCGTGGCGGCCTGAGCCTTCTTTTGCGACTTTTTGCCCATCCTGTCGCTGCTGGTGGTGGTTAAGATGCCGGTGCCGGTGCCGGTGGCGGGGTTGCTGTCTGGGGGCTAACGGCGGGCGAGGGTCGTTGATGTGGAAAGAAGGCACAGCGAACAAGGAGCACAGCGAGCACGAGCAGCCTGGCAAAAATTTCGGCCACCCCTGCGCCCGGAAAAGTTGGCCAAAATTGGCCGCGAAATTCGGGAATCGGCGCTCTACTCAGACCGGCCAAGGGGTCCCCACGACGGAGCCGAACTTGGCCGGCTGGCTCTCGGGCGGGCGAGCGACAGAGCGACGTCGGGCCACCGCGTCGTTCCAGCTGGCGCCTCTGCTGATGGAGGTAGGGCAGGGCAGGGCAGGGCAGGGCAGGCCAGCACGTCTCTCTCTGTCATCGTATCAGACGGCGATGGTTCCTGGCGGGCTTCTCGATGCCATCATCCCACATCGTCGACGGTGATTGGCGCTGCTTGGACAGGCCGCCGCTGTTCGGATCCGCCGTGTGCGCCAGGAACGCCTCGTCGTCTGAGAGCGGCCTGGCCAACAAAGCAAACACGAGACCCTGGCGATCCTCCGCACGCTCGGGGGTCGGGCACAGGCAGGCTGGCAGGCTGGCGCACGATCTGCGACTCTCTGCGACCGTGCCCCCACCACGCTGCTGCCTGGCGATGCGGCCGGCTCAGGAGCTCCGAGGCAGACGGCATGCGCACATCTATCTGGCCTGCGGCAGCGTCCCCCACCTTGGAGTTCTCCAACGCCCGCCAGGGCAAAGGAGGTACATAGTCGGCGGCACCGAAATCTGAGCCCGAGCCTGCCAAGAAGCCCAGGCCAGGCCAGGCCACGCAGGGCGAGCAGGCAGGGGAAGGCTTGCGTCGGGCTTGGCTGCGGCCTGGCTCCGCCTGCTTGTCAACAGATTGATCACATCGACAGGCAGGCGGCAGAGAGAGGGGCCGGGGCTAGGCTAGCAGCGAGCGAGGGCGTCGAGCTCGAATTTCCGCCTGCAGCTTGCCAGCCGAGCCTGCCGCGTTGCCTGCCTGGCTCTGCTGCCTTCGCTTGCCTCCTCGCTGCCTTTGGGCCGCCCGAAGAGGCAGGGCAGGGCAGGGCAGGGCAGGGCGCGCCTCTTCTCACGCAGCGCCCGCGCTGTTTTTCGCCCCTGGCGCCTGCCTCTCTGCCCGAGCGTTTGCCTGCCCCGCCCGACGCTCGCAGCTCGCCCAGCCGCGCGCGCCTCCTGCGGCCGCCGAGCCTCTGCCTCTCTCGCTCTCTCTCTCTCTGCCTCTCGCTGTGCCTCGCCCTCTACCTGACGCCGCCGCTGCCGCCGCCGCCGCCGTCGTCGTCGACACCACCACCACCACCACCACCCGCTATCCCCATCGCTAAGCTCGGATACCCCTCGTCTTCGACCCCCGCCCTCGCCTCCCTTCCTCCCCTCCCCTCCTCTTTCCGCGGCCACTCCACTCTCCTTCTCTCATCCCCCTCCACCTTCTCACACTCCATCACCCTTTCCCCGCCTACGACCAGCGCAGCCAACCCAGCTCCGCCAGACCAACCCAAGCCAACACGGCACACCTTCTTTCCAGCGCAGCACATCCATCGCCAACGTCCACCTTGGGCACATTCCGCCAATTGCCGCCTTGACGATCCTCCTCTGCTAGTTGCTGTGCAACCACCGAGGACTTAATCTCCACCCCACGGCAGGTCCACCTACGCACTCTGCACCTCTGCGCGACGCGCTCCGCTTCGACACCCTTCGACCTTCTCCTCCTCCCCCTCCTCCTCCTCCTCACCACCACCCCAACCGCCGCCGTCATGCTCGAAAAGAAGAGCAATAACTTCCTCGCCCACGCCCGGGTCGGGCACAAGAAGCTCGTCCGCAGGCAGGCGCCCGCCGCCCCCAGCGCCACCGACTGCTCGGCCGGCGGCCTCTACGTCTCGCCCGCCGCCGGCGACGTCGTCGACAGCTCCGTCAAGACGCTCGTCACCTGGAACCGCGCCTGCCTCGCCAGCGACGTCAAGAACATCGACATCTACGTCTACGCCCCCCAGCTCAGCAACGCCACCACCCCCTTCCAGCGCTACACGGGCGTTCCCGTCAGCCAAAAGGACTACAAGATCAAGCTTGAGCCCCGCTGGTGGGTCAACGATGTCCACCAGGACAAGAATGCCTCGTTCAGCTTCAACATTGTCCCTGCCGGCAACGAGCCCTGGGACTCGGCCAACCCCATGGGCCCCACCTGGACCGCCCAGTACATTGTCCCCGCCAACGGCAAGATCCCCGCCGACGCCGAGAGGGACCCTTCGCTCAAGCAGAAGCTCGTCTCGGCCTTTGTCGAGGACGGCAAGCTCAACGCCTCGGGCAAGACGGCCGCCATCGTCTGCCCCATCATCGTCGTCGTCTGCGTCGTGGCGCTCCTCGTCCGACGCCTCCACATCAAGCGCAACAACAAGACCGTCGACTGGGCCGAGCAGATGGACAAGCGCATGAGCAGGATCTCGGTCGACTGGCAGCAGGGCGGTGACGGCTCCGCCGGCCCCATCCCGGGCACCCGCCCCGCGTCGTACATGGCGCGCGTCTCTCACGACGTCGGCGGCGGCAACATGGCCGGCCGCGGTGCTGGCAACCGCGTGCCGCGCGAGATGTCCGAGGTCTCGCCCGCCTTTGCCACCGAGGGCGAGATGCGCGAGGCACGCCCGCGCGGCATGTCGATGTACGACGAGGGCAACCGCTCCAGCAGGATCAGCTTCGCCGGCAACACGCGCGGCGACCGCATCTCCAAGATCAGCTTCGCCAACTCGAGCGAGGCCCACGGCGGTCTCCGCGGCGGCCTCGGCGGCAACGCCGGCGCCCACCGCAGCAGCGCCTCGCTGCCCCGCCTCGGCCAGAACGGCAACCGACGATCGCAGATGCAGACCGAGTCGTACTACGACCCCGACGCCCCCGCCGTCCCGCAGCTCGACGAGCGCTTCCGCTCCAGCCACGACACGCGCCGCGAGAGCCGCTTCAGCGACGGCCTCGTCTACGCCGACGACGACGAGGACGACGACGAGATCCTCATGAGCCCCACGCAGAACGACGGACCCATGCCCCTCGGCCACGGCGACGTCGACCGGATGCGCAAGAGCCTCGACGCCGGCCGTTCGCTCGGCGCCCCCTCGTCGTCGTCGCCCTCGTCGTCGCGCCCCGTTCACGGCCACCAGGCGGCCGACGCCAACCAGCGCGACTCGATGCTCGAGTACCCGGCGCTCAGCATGATGACGTCGGGCCGCGAGGAGAGCGACGGCCGCGACATGTTTGGCAGCAACGGCGCGCGGCCGGACTCGTCGATCTCGGACGCCGGCCGCTACATTGACCACGCGCACTACAACGGCAGCGGCAGCAGCGGCCCGGCGCTGGCGCCCGACCACCCCAACTTTGCCTCGTCGGTGGCGCGCCAGCCCTCGCCGGCGGTGAGCTCGCAGACGGGCATGGCGCCGCCCGTCAACTTTTCATCGCCCGACGAGGCCATGAAGCACTACGCGTCGCTGCGCGCGGCGGCCGGCTCCGCTGCTGCCGAGACCCAAGCGCCGACGTCGATGCGGTCGCTCTACACGCCCGACGCGCTGCCGGGCCACCGGACGCAGGCGAGCGTGGCTGGTTCGAGCCTCAACGAGGACGACGTCGTGGGCTACAACGAGATGCTCGATCACGGCCACTCGCGCTGAAGCGGCGCGAACGCTCCCCGTTGCTTGCCTTTCCTCTGCTGCGTCCCGGGCCCCTCTCTTTGTTCTGCACTGCCGCCCCTCGCTTTCCTCTTTGACCGCCTTGTATTTCTGCATCGGACGTCGACCTCTGGTCGTTGCCCGCCTTCGCCTCTTCTGCTGGTCGATCTGAGGCCTCAAAGGTCGGATGCGGCCGCCGCCGCCGCCGCTGCCGCTGCCGCTGCCGCCGCCGCCAGCTTGACGCTGGACGCGGCAGTCTGGATATGCGCGCCCGCCTCCGCTCCGACCGCCCTTTCTTCGTTTGTTTGTTCTCCCCCTTTTCTTGCGGCTGTCGTTGTCGTTGCTCTTTGTCGTCCCATTGTCGCTCCCGCTCTTTCTCTCTCGCTCTCTCTCTGTCTCTCTCTCTGTCGCTCTCTATCCCTCTCTCTCACGCTCTCTCCCATGCTCGGTATTCAGCGTCGTCGTCTGTCCTTTCTTCGCGTTACGGCACCCTTGTTCGACCTTTTCTTCGTCTTTGATCCGTTACTCTTATCTATCCATCAGCGCTTGATTGACCCTGCGTGTGTGCGGTGTCGGCCCCTCTGGGCGTGAGGGCCCGGAGGTCGATGGGATTTGATCCGACGTCCTGTCTCGGCCCGCCAGCAGGTGAGGTGAGGTGGGTGGGTGTAGCGTGGATTTGGCTCTCGATGTGGCCCTGCGTGCCTCAGTTGGATGACCTGGCCTGGTCGCCTCATCGAGGGCGGGAGCGAGACGGGAGCGAGACGGGAGCGAGACGCGCTGGGATGCTCGCGGCCAGTTCAGTCAGGCAGGCCTGACCTGGCCGGCAGGCAGACGGGGCTTTCACGCGCCCCTCGGCCCCATGAGCCATTTTTGACGCCTGCCTCGTCGATCCCAACCCTGGACCGGGACAGCCCTTTGGCTCGAGGAGCAGCCATCGTGGGGAGTACGTTTTGGCTTTCGTCGAGCTATGTGGTGGCCGTCTTGGGCAGGTGGGGAGCAAGCCTGAAGCACCCAACCGGGGCGGGGCAGCGAGGGGCAACAAGGGGGATGACGAGGCTAGGCCTAGCTAGGGTACGGTGCTCCGCGCCGCCCGGCTGGTTGACGGCTCGCAGTTGCCGGCTTCAAGGGTCAGAACAGAGGGCGCGGCGCAGGCCGGCAGCTTCGCCCCCCCCCCNCCNCGCNCGCGCCAGCACACGAGGAGAGC